TGGCCATGGTGAAGAGTTTGGAATCTGATTGAATGATTGCTTCTGTGGACAGGTGTCTTTTATACAGGTAACAAACTGAGATTAGGAGCACTCCCTTTAAGAGTGTGCTCCTAATCTCAGCTCATTAGCTGTATAAAAGACACCTGGGAGCCAGAAATCTTTCTGATTGAGAGGGGGGTTAAATACTTATTTTCCCTAATTAAAATGCAAATAAATGACATGCGTTTTTCTGGATTTTTTTGTTGTTATTCTGTATCTCACTGTTCAAATAAACATACCATTCAAATTATAGACTGATAATTTCTTTGTCAGTGGGCAAACGTACAAAATCAGCACGGGATCAAATACTTTTTTCCTTCACTGTAGCTTATAGCTTTCTCATGTAAAAAATGCACACAGCCACCCCATTACATGTTGCTTGGAAAAGTAGGAGTCCCTCGGGTGTTGATTTATATTTATTCATAATGTGCGCTGGTGATAACATCTCTCTCTACCAAATCTCATTGGCTTGCTTTCCAACTTTGTTGAATTGAGATGCATACTGTGCTTACTGAGCAAAAGGTCATACCATTATGATAATCTTACTAATCTCACAGTCAATCATAATGCTATATCCTTTGCAAATTGCCGAACTTTCTAATAAAAGCTGCTTGCTAATGGTGGCTGCAAACAAGCTTTTCCATACTCATTGCATTCCACTGGTGTAGAAATAGCATTAGAGTAAATCTAATACTTTCATCAGAGCCAATATCATTGAAAGTGCAGCACTCAGGAGAGTTGAACTCATTGTATACAGTGGGGAAAAAAAGTATTTAGTCAGCCACCAATTGTGCAAGTTCTCCCACTTAAAAAGATGAGAGAGGCCTGTAATTTTCATCATAGGTACACGTCAACTATGACAGACAAAATGAGAGAAAAAAAATTCCAGAAAATCACATTGTAGGATTTTTAATGAATTTATTTGCAAATTATAGTGGAAAATAAGTATTTGGTCAATAACAAAAGTTTCTCAGTACTTTGTTATATACCCTTTGTTGGCAATGACACAGGTCAAACGTTTTCTGTAAGTCTTCACAAGGTTTTCACACACTGTTGCTGGTATTTTGGCCCATTCCTCCATGCAGATCTCCTCTAGAGCAGTGATGTTTTGGGGCTGTCGCTGGGCAACACGGACTTTCAACTCCCTCCAAAGATTTTCTATGGGGTTGAGATCTGGAGACTTCAGGACCTTGAAATGCTTCTTACGAAGCCACTCCTTCGTTGCCCGGGCGGTGTGTTTGGGATCATTGTCATGCTGAAAGACCCAGCCACGTTTCATCTTCAATGCCCTTGCTGATGGAAGGAGGTTTTCACTCAAAATCTCACGATACATGGCCCCATTCATTCTTTCCTTTACACGGATCAGTCGTCCTGGTCCCTTTGCAGAAAAACAGCCCCAAAGTATGATGTTTTCACTCCCATGCTTCACAGTAGGTATGGTGTTCTTTGGATGCAACTCAGCATTCTTTGTCCTCCAAACACGACGAGTTGAGTTTTTACCAAAAAGTTATATTTTGGTTTCATCTGACCATATGACATTCTCCCAATCCTCTTCTGGATGCACTCTAGCAAACTTCAGACGGGCCTGGACATGTACTGGCTTAAGCAGGGGGACATGTCTAGCACTGCAGGATTTGAATCCCTGGCGGCGTAGTGTGTTACTGATGGTAGGCTTTGTTACTTTGGTCCCAGCTCTCTGCAGGTCATTCACTAGGTCCCCCCGTGTGGTTCTGGGATTTTTGCTCACCGTTCTTGTTATCATTTTGACCCCACGGGGTGAGATCTTGCGTGGAGCCCCAGATCGAGGGAGATTATCAGTGGTCTTGTATGTCTTCCATTTCCTAATAATTGCTCCCACAGTTGATTTCTTCAAACCAAGCTGCTTACCTATTGCAGATTCAGTCTTCCCAGCCTGGTGCAGGTCTACAATTTTGTTTCTGGTGTCCTTTGACAGCTCTTTGGTCTTGGCCATAGTGGAGTTTGGAGTGTGACTGTTTGAGGTTGTGGACAGGTGTCTTTTATACTGATAACAAGTTCAAACAGGTGCCATTAATACAGGTAACGAGTGGAGGACAGAGGAGCCTCTTAAAGAAGAAGTTACAGGTCTGTGAGAGCCAGAAATCTTGCTTGTTTGTAGGTGACCAAATACTTATTTTCCACCATAATTTGCAAATAAATTCATTAAAAATCCTACAATGTGATTTTCTGGATTTTCTTTTCTCAATTTGTCTGTCATAGTTGACGTGTACCTATGATGAAAATTACAGGCCTCTCTCGTCTTTTTAAGTGGGAGAACTTGCACAATTGGTGGCTGACTAAATACTTATTTTCCCCACTGTACATGTTGAGCTAAATCATCAGTTTAATGAGTGCTCCCTGAGGCTCTTGTGCTCCACAAGCAAACACATGTTGTATTGATTAAGTGCGTTTCTGATACACTGTTGGTATTTCAGACAAATGAAGAATAAATTACTATCTTATTTTTGATCTGAAGAAAACACATTTGCATCACATTTTTGCTGTTTAGCGTGATTGTCACGATCGTCTAATGAGGAGGACCAATGCGCAGCGTTGAAGGTGAACATGACTTTATTCAATTAAAGCCTAAACACGAAAACAACAAAACAAATGACGATACGTGAAGTCCACAGTGACAATGACTGTACAGGAACAAAAACCCACAAACACAAGGTGAAAACACACAGTTTAAATATGGCTCCCAATCAGAGATAACGAGCCGACAGCTGACACTCGTTACCACTGATTGGGAGTCACACGACCAAACAAGGAAACAACCACATAGACAACCCAACCAAACATAACACAACGAAACGAACACACCCTGGCTCAACATACAAAGTCCCGGAGCCAGAGCGTGACAGTACCCCCCCCTAAAGGCGCGGACTGCGACCGCGCCTCAAAGAACCCAAATAGGGGAGGGCTGGGTGGGTGTTGCTCCTCGGAGGCGGCTCCGGCTCTGGCTCCGGGCTTGACCACCATCCTACATCCATCCCCCCGTAATGGCCCCGGTCCGATCCAACCCAGCTGGCTGGATCCGGACTGATGACGCGCACCCCTAACTTGGCGCGTGAGGCAGGGACGGACCGGACCTGGCTGACGATACGCATCCTCGGCTTGGTGCGTGGAGCCGGAACGGACCTCCTCAGGCTGACGACTCGCCTCCCTGGCTTGGTGCGCGTAGCAGGCATAGGCTGAACCATGTTGACGACTCGCCCCCTTGGTTTGGTGCGAGTAGCCGGACCGAGCTGACCCAGGTTGACGATTCGAACCTTTAGCCTGGTGCGAGTGGCAGGAACAGTCCGGGTTGGGCCGGCGACGCACACCGTAGTTTTGATGCGTGGAGCAGGAACCGGCCGGGCTGGGCTGGCGACGCACCCCTTTGGCTTGGTGCGTAGAGCAGGGACAGGCCGGGCTGGGCTGGCGACGCACCCCTTTGGCTTGGTGCGTAGAGCAGGAACGGGCAGAGCCGGGCTGACGAGACGCACCACAGGCTTGATGCGAAGAGCAGGCACGGGCCGTGCCGGACTAACGACGCACACCACTGGCTTGGTGCGGGAAGCTTGGATGGACCGGACTGTACTAGGGACACACACCACTGGCCCTACACCGGGATCTGGAACGGGCCGGACCGGACTGGCAACACACGCCAGTACCTCTCGCCGTGCCTCTACTTCCTCCATCCCCTCTTCGACCAGTGGCCCCCGTAACCCGGCGTCCTTCTCCAGCAACCCACTGGGCCGCTCTATCGCGGCCTCCTGCTGGTCCGACGTCGTGAGCCCCCCCCTAAAAATTTTCGGGGCGTCTCTCCTACCCGTGGACCAGGTCTCCATATCCCTCGCCAGCCTCTCGCCCTTCTGCCATAGTGTCAAGCCCTTCTCCTCCTCACTCGGCTTGACCCAGTCCAGGAGGCGAAGGAGATCTGTGAGGGATCTCCCTGGCGACGGCTCCTGGACACGCTGCTTGGTCCCATCTTGGTGGGTTTTTCTGTCACGATCGTCTAATGAGGAGGACCAATGCGCAGCGTTGAAGGTGAACATGACTTTATTCAATTAAAGCCTAAACACGAAAACAACAAAACAAATGACGATACGTGAAGTCCACAGTGACAATGACTGTACAGGAACAAAAACCCACAAACACAAGGTGAAAACACACAGTTTAAATATGGCTCCCAATCAGAGATAACGAGCCGACAGCTGACACTCGTTACCACTGATTGGGAGTCACACGACCAAACAAGGAAACAACCACATAGACAACCCAACCAAACATAACACAACGAAACGAACACACCCTGGCTCAACATACAAAGTCCCGGAGCCAGAGCGTGACAGTGATAAAGAATGGGCATTGTTATAGGCATTGGCACATAATTTATTCAGAAGTTTAATAGCTGAGTAGATATGGTTTTTACTCTATACTTTCCTACAGCAATCACTTAGCAAAATAGTCGTTATTCAAAAGCAAATGTCTAGCAGTGAGATGAAAACAGAAAGGACTGTCAACAGGCCTCAGTATTGATATTGCAAACTTGTCTACATTTTACATTTACATTTAGTCATTTAGCAGACGCTCTTATCCAGAGCGACTTACAGTTAGTGAGTGCATACATTTTTCATACTGGCTATACGCCTCTTAAGAATGTGCAATTAATTTGATATCAACAGAGACAGAGGAGACTGAAATAAAAGGCTGTTTAGTTGTTTACTGGAATGTTTGCTTGAAGCTGTTGTGGAAGTTGTTAGAGAGAGAAAATGTTAGATATTTCAAAAACTATCAAAAAGGCTTCTCCTTGGATTAAAGGGATTTAGTCAATCTTGCTCGCAAAGCTGACACTGTGGACATTGGGAAAGAGAGAGGCTGAAGTGTATGAGTTTTGTCTAAACAACATTGAATGTTTATAAAAAATCATCATCACCATCATCATCCTCATCATCACCATGATCATCACCATCACCACCATCATCATCACCACCACCATCATCACCATGATCATCATCACCACCACCACCACCATCATCATCATCATCATCATCATCCTCATCATTACCATGATCATCATCACCATCATCATCATCACCCTCATCATCACCATGATCATCATCCTCATCATCACCATGATCATCCTCATCATCATCATCATGTTGCAACCATACCAGGGAAAGGACAGCATGAGAAATGTTTTTAAAATTGTTCAATTCATTTCCTGTTGATAACACAATATTATGCCATTTCACACTCTGCAACCCCTCGCATTGGAACTAGTAGCGATCACCAATTTCATCAGAATTTCACCAGAATTACAAGAGGTCACTCAAGAGCAATGCCCTTTGGTTGAGCAAGCATAATGACTTGTGTTAATTCTAGTATAAAAATGTGAGTTGTTGGGGAGAAGACGTTGACTTGACTCCTGATCACACAGACAGGCTCCAGCATCTTGTTACTGAAATGAGAATTAGGGCATGGGCCTGGAAGGCTGTTCAGACAACAGCACAACTGAACACTACCTACAGAATCTACATGTGATTTAGTAAAGTCATCTACACTCTCCTACTTGTCAGTCTTTGACATTTACTTTACATCTGTCATTGTCTATACTGTATGATAAGATGTGTTTTTTAAATCTTTTACAATCTAGTTTTCAAAGATTGTCACCATGGCGATGATGTTGACCATCCTTATCCTACTCAGCATTGCCTTTGAATGCGAGAGAGACACCTTTACATTACTAATTCATCCATTCTGTTAGTTGTTCTGTACACTTGACCATTTCTAGCCCTGCTGGAGCAGAAGTGTTTAGATTTGGAGTGTAGAGATATGTAGAGATGTGTTTTGTAGTGTCTGTTGAACATTTTACCATTCTAAATATTCCTTTGTAAAGACTTTTTCTATTCTAAAAGTTTCATTCTAAAGATTATTTTTCAATTCTAAAGATTCCATTCCCTGCCTTAACCTGATGCAGGATACATGCGGAAAACAGGTCAATGGAATTCACGCATCCCCCCGTGAGGGATAGATCCAGAATCTCCTCATTGCCGCCCATCAAAATTAGTCTACATTTTCAAAATTAGCCTACATTTACATAGTATTTCACACTATGTTAGGGTAAAAATTGGAGTATAATGCTTGTATAGATGTCAACGCCAATGCATGTTCATGTCATCATCACCAATCAACTGCATTACACTTACAAACGGCTTCAACTACAACCACCGATTTCTATTTGCTAGCTATGCTACCAGCTTATATGAACAGGAAAAGGATAACTTTTAAATATTATGCAGCTAAAACAGCCAAATATGTACACATTTGATTTTAGTAACCACCTTGTGGGCCTGTTAGAACACAGAAATGACAGATTTGATGAATATCCACTTTGTTAGATCAGCTTTTTTGAATGGGTGCCAATGACGGTGTTTCTTCCATCTCCAACGGACTGCGTTCCATTGACCTCTTTACCGCATGTATGGTAAGTGTTGAGTCGATTGTTTGGTGGTCTAAAAAAAAACATTGACATATTGAATAAGAACAGTCAGAATGATACATTGCAACAATCACACTTTAGCTCACGCTTATTACCAGAGTGTGTCTCTAGACCTGTCCTTCTCAGGTAACAGGACCCTAGAACCACCATCATCTGGAACCGAGAAGCCATTCTTCTCAGATAACAGGACCCTAGAACCACCATCATCTGGAACCGAGGAGCCGTCCTTCTCAGGTAACAGGACCCTAGAACCACCATCATCTGGAACCGAGGAGCCGTCCTTCTCAGATAACAGGACCCTAGAACCACCATCATCTGGAACTGAGGAGCCGTCCTTCTCAGATAACAGGACCCTAGAACCACCATCATCTGGAACCGAGGAGCCGTCCTTCTCAGATAACAGGACCCTAGAACCACCATCATCTGGAACTGAGGAGCCGTCCTTCTCAGATAACAGGACCCTAGAACCACCATCATCTGGAACTGAGGAGCCGTCCTTCTCAGATAACAGGACCCTAGAACCACCATCATCTGGAACTGAGGAGCCGTCCTTCTCAGATAACAGGACCCTAGAACCACCATCATCTGGAACTGAGGAGCCGTCCTTCTCAGATAACAGGACCCTAGAACCACCATCATCTGGAACCGAGGAGCCGTCCTTCTCAGGTAACAGGACCCTGGAACCACCATCATCTGGAACTGAGGAGCAGTCCTTCTCAGATAACAGGGACCCTGGAACCACCATCATCTGGAACCGAGGAGCCGTCCTTCTCATGTAACAGGACCCTAGAACCACCATCATCTGGAACCGAGGAGCCGTCCTTCTCATGTAACAGGACCCTGGAACCACCATCATCTGGAACCGAGAAGCCGTCCTTCTCAGATAACAGGACCCTAGAACCACCATCATCTGGAACCGAGGAGCCGTCCTTCTCAGGTAACAGGACCCTGGAACCACCATCATCTGGAACTGAGGAGCCGTCCTTCTCAGATAACAGGACCCTGGAACCACCATCATCTGGAACCGAGGAGCCGTCCTTCTCATGTAACAGGACCCTGGAACCACCATCATCTGGAACCGAGGAGCCGTCCTTCTCATGATAACAGGACCCTGGAACCACCATCATCTGGAACCGAGGAGCCGTCCTTCTCATGTAACAGGACCCTGGAACCACCATCATCTGGAACCGAGGAGCCGTCCTTCTCAGATAACAGGACCCTGGAACCACCATCATCTGGAACCGAGAAGCCGTCCTTCTCAGATAACAGGACCCTGGAACCACCATCATCTGGAACCGAGGAGCCGTCCTTCTCAGGTAACAGGACCCTGGAACCACCATCATCTGGAACTGAGGAGCCGTCCTTCTCAGATAACAGGACCCTGGAACCACCATCATCTGGAACCGAGGAGCCGTCCTTCTCATGTAACAGGACCCTGGAACCACCATCATCTGGAACCGAGAAGCCATTCTTCTCAGGTAACAGGACCCTGGAACCACCATCATCTGGAACCGAGAAGCCATTCTTCTCAGGTGACAGGACCCTGGAACCACCATCCTCTGGAACCGAGGAGCCGTCCATCTCAGGTGACAGGACCCTGGAACCACCATCATCTGAAACCGAGGAGCCGTCCTTCTCAGGTGACAGGACCCTTGAACCACCATCATCTGGAACCGGGGAGCCGTCCTTCTCAGGTGACAGGACCCTGGAACCACCATCATCTGAAACCGACGAGTTGTCCTCCGGAGTGTGAGAAGATCATGAACAGCAATGGGAGAGTTGATAATATTGATTACCATGATGTTGACCAGGGTAGATTTTTAAAATGGATTTTATGATGCCATTTCGGACACAGCCTGAGAGGGAAAAGTACAGCAATCGTTTGACAGATTTAATTAGCATAATTGTAAACTTTTCTGCTATACTGTCTTGTAACTTTCCATAACTATGTAGACGGTAAGGCCATACATACTGTAATGTGTCTTTCATTGAAGCTCTCTTATCATCTGTGCTGACTGTCATTAGCAGACCTGGGCACAAACCTATTATATGAAATCTTTCAAATACTTTGAGCGTTTTATCTAGCTTGCCTGAAGTGCTGGATGGGCAGTGTTTGCAGTTTTGGGACAATTGTATTGGTCCATTATACCATGCAGGCTCATTCAAGCACAGATTAAGTATTTGGAATGATTTCAAATAGTATTTCAACCAGGTTTGCTACTTGACATATACTTGTAGTATCCATTTTTTTTTCTTTTTTTTCTCTATGTTACATAAGGCAGGAGGCCTTCCAGGCTTCTGGTCTAGCAGATGTTAGGAGGAGGCAGGAGGCAGGAGGCCTTCCGGGCTTCTGGTCTAGCAGATGTTAGGAGGAGGCAGGGCAGGAGGCCTTCCGGGCTTCTGGTCTAGCAGATGTTAGGAGGAGGCAGGAGGCCTTCCAGGCTTCTGGTCTAGCAGATGTTAGGAGGAGGCAGGAGGCCTTCCAGGCTTCTGGTCTATCAGATGTCAGACACCTCTGTAGTTCCACTTCATACAGAGTTTGACTCTTTATATCTTCTGTTTCATTATCTAAACCCGGTGTCCTGTCCCATAATGTAGTTGCTTTGGATGAATTCTGTCATGGAATAAATCTATATGATCAAGATCATCTTGTCCTAGTTGCGGGGTCCCTCCTGGGTAGGTGGGTGGGGTCGTTTTTTTCTCTCTTTGCAATTATGCCACTATCGTGAAAGTTGTTTTAGACTTTCTGCATATAGCCCAATTGACAAGTACTGCATGACTGTGCCACCAGTGGAGGCTGCTGAGGGGAGGATGGCTCATAATAATGACTGGAATGGAGTCAATGGAATGCTATCAAACGTGGTTTCCATGTGGTTGATACCATTCCATTGATTCCATTCCAGGCATTACTATGAGCCGTCCTCCCTTCAGCAGCCTCCACTGTGTGCCACACATTGTAATTGATATACAGTATGTTTGCCAAGGTTATACAGTGTAAGATTAAGTACTGTATGGTTGCAACTTGTAATCATCACTGTAACATATAATGTACTAACAGTATCAATATCATGGTGGCATTTTCTCTAGGCAGTGTTGATGTACTGCACTTCCTCATATTGCAATCGATGAACCAGAACTTCCTATGATAGTCTTTCGTGAGAGCAGTAGCAGGTAACATGCTACATGACAGGAAAAACATAGGTTTTGAAGCTTGAAGCGAGGTCACTGAGGCCTTTATGCTGACGTGCGGCACACCTGTGGGAGTAGGATATGTAATCAACACGTATTCAGCGTTGGTCGTTCAGGTTGAAAATATGCACATCCAAAACAATTACAAGCCTATAGACATTATAGACGATATGCTGGATTGTTGGCACGTGTCACTTGACAGACTTTATTTTCAGTTATCTTTACCTGATCTGAGCGGAGGAGTTTGGAACTGTTTTATTTTCTACATCTCGAGCATTGTGGACAGCTCTGTACCATGACATACAGTGGTTTAACCAAACAAATTCTTTCAGCAGGGTAACAACTATGTCCAAGGCAAGATGTTTGTACAGTGAGGGAAAAAAGTATTTGATCCCCTGCTGATTTTGTACGTTTGCCCAATGACAAAGAAATGATCAGTCTATAATTTTAATGGTAGGTTTATTTGAACAGTGAGAGACAGAATAACAACAAAATAATCTAGAAAAACGCATGTCAAAAATTTTATAAATTGATTTGAATTTTAATGAGGGAAATAAGTATTTGACCCCTCTGCAAATCATGACTTAGTATTTGGTGGCAAAACCCTTGTTGGCAATCACAGCGGTCAGACGTTTCTTGTAGTTGGCCACCAGGTTTGCACACATCTCAGTCCTTGCATTTTAATGAGGGAAATAAGTATTTGACCCCCTCTCAATCAGAAAGATTTCTGGCTCCCAGGTGTCTTTTATACAGGTAATGAGCTGAGATTAGGAGCACACTCTTAAAGGGAGTGCTCCTAATCTCAGTTTGTTACCTGTATAAAAGACACCTGTCCACAGAAAGCAATCAATCAATCAGATTCCAAACTCTCCACCATGGCCAAGACCAAAGAGCTCTCCAAGGATGTCAGGGACAAGATTGTAGACCTACACAAGGCTGGAATGGGCTACAAGATCATCGCCAAGCAGCTTGGTGAGAAGGTGACAACAGTTGGTGCGATTATTCTCAAATGGAAGAAACACAAAATAACTGTCAATCTCCCTCGGCCTGGGGCTCCATGCAAGATCTCACCTGGTGGAGTTGCAATGATCATGAGAACGGTGAGGAATCAGCCCAGAACTACACGGGAGGATCTTGTCAATGATCTCAAGGCAGCTGGGACCATAGTCACCAAGAAAACAATTGGTAACACACTACGCCGTGAAGGACTGAAATCCTGCAGCGCCCACAAGGTCCCCCTGCTCAAGAAAGCACATATACATGCCCGTCTGAAGTTTGCCAATGAACATCTGAATGATTCAGAGGAGAACTGGATGAAAGTGTTATGGTCAGATGAGACCAAAATGGAGCTCTTTGGCATCAACTCAACTCGCCGTGTTTGGAGGAGGAGGAATGCTGCCTATGACCCCAAGAACACCATCCCCACCGTCAAACATGGAGGTGGAAACATTATGCTTTGGGGGTGTTTTTCTGCTAAGGGGACAGGACAACTTCACCGCATCAAAGGGACGATGGATGGGGCCATGTACCGTCAAATCTTGGGTGAGAACCTCCTTCCCTCAACCAGGGCATTGAAAATGGGTCGTGGATGGGTATTCCAGCATGACAATGACCCAAAACACACGGCCAAGGCAACAAAGGAGTGGCTCAAGAAGAAGCACATTAAGGTCCTGGAGTGGCCTAGCAAGTCTCCAGACCTTAATCCCATAGAAAATCTGTGGAGGGAGCTGAAGGTTCGAGTTGCCAAACGTCAGCCTCGAAACATTAATGACTTGGAGAAGATCTGCAAAGAGGAGTGGGACAAAATCCCTCCTGAGATGTGTGCAAACCTGGTGGCCAACTACAAGAAACGTCTGACCTCTGTGATTGCCAACAAGGGTTTTGCCACCAAGTACTAAGTCATGTTTTGTAGAGGGGTTCAAATACTTATTTCCCTCATTAAAATGCAAATCAATTTATAAAATTTTTGAATTGTGTTTTTCTGGATTTTCTTGTTGTTATTCTGTCTCTCACTGTTCAAATAAACCTACCATTAAAATTATAGACTGATCATGTCTTTGTCAGTGGGCAAACGTACAAAATCAGCAGGGGATCAAATACTTTTTTCCCTCACTGTAGACATGAAGAGAAAGGAGGCCTTTGTGCATGTCAGTGTGTCCTCTAACCAAGGTGCTTGTTGAGACAAGATTAATAGATATTTAAGACATAAACAGTGGTTGGGAGACCTCCTATGATGAATTATGTACTGTAGGTTATTTTGGTCCAAAGGGCAAGGCGAGAACATTCCAGCTGTCCTTTCCCCTTGTTCTTCCAGTAAATGGAGGAGAGGACATAGAAAGCAACCATAATGTTACCAACTTGGCTAGATGAAAGAGCCCCATGGAGGTACACATCTACGCTGTATCCTCGGTCTTTGTGTGTGTGTGTGTGTGTGTGTGTGTGTGTGTGTGTGTGTGTGTGCGTGCATATGCATTTGTTTTGCTTGATTAGGACACAGAGATAATCAGACTATTCAGTGTTCACTTCTCTTGAGACGAGTATGATGAAGAGAGGAAAAAAAGAGTTGTCGAGTTGCATAACTCCCAGGCTTTGGGGAAGTGTTGCAACTATTAAATAAAGATGAGATGATTAATGCATATGCTCATTATTTCCATGCGAGGGGCTTCATTAATTAACCCCCACCCCTGCCAGTGAGCGTGCTACTGCTGTTGGTGGGTGTTGGGTTACAGATGGTAGGGGAGCACTGGTAATCCAACACGTTATTTGGAGCAATGCGTCGGCGGGACTTGGCTCCCACAATTCCAGTTCTCATATAAGCTGTGAGTTTACACAGGAAACCAAATATAATATATATAGCTAAATATAAAGACTCAAACTTAATCAAAATACTGTGGAGAAGAATCGGTTTGACGTCCAAGTTGTTTGGGGGGAGAGGATGGAACCAGAATATACAGGATACAGTACAGTCATGGGAGGGCTTTTTGCCTTCAAAACAGAGCAGAAACTGTCCAGAGGTCCAGATGGCATGCCTGCTAGTGTTGAGGGGTGTCTCTGTTTCTCTGAGGATGTGATATGATACACTGAGGGACAGTTTCAGAGCTCTCTTTGAGTCACTAAAATAACTCATTCCTCTTGGGTTTGTGGCATCTGACATCCATGGCCATTTAAATGAAATATCCATATTTTCTGCACGTCTGCTTTCGCCAAGTCTTCCTCTACGTGACACAGAGGGTCGCCCCATGAGGAGTAAGTCAGCAGAGGTCAGGCGAACAGTGTCTGTGATCAGCTTTACCTAACACAATTAAATGATTCACTGCAGCTCTAGTTAATCACTGGGCTGCAGCGCTCTGGCTTCTAGACTACACTCACCTTTCGTTTGGATAGCGTGCTATTCAAATTCAGCGGGAAGGTATATAGCTTTGTTATCTTTTCTTTGCAGACATCTCATAGATTGATCTGTGTAGAAGTCTGTTTGTATATTTTGTTGCAATGTAATCATCTGTTGACAGTAGTTCTAACTTGGGGTGATGATGCCTCCAAGGGTGAAAAGGTACACTT